GGGGGGGGGGGGGGGCAATGTTTTTAGGTTCATCCAGATCTTTGGGGGGAGGGGGAGAGAGAGAGAGCTCCCCAATGGCAACCACCCCCTGGTTAGTTGCTTATGTTTCAAAAGTCAACAAAGACTGAATTTATGATCCCTCCAGAAGACAAGGATGTAAAACATCAATGTGGAAGTGTCAGGCAATGGTGAAAAGCTTTGGTTTGGACATAATGTAAACTTAGGGTGAACTTACATTTGAGGGTTTGATTGTTGAGGATATTGGATATGGACTCATTTTGAAACTGAAGAAATTGTAGAATTTTGTATGAATATGTGGACGTTTATCAGTTTCTCTGTAGACCCCAGTCTAAATTAAATTTATGGAAATATAAACTGCATAGGCATGTCACTGGATGTGGAGTGACTTCAACAAAAAGGAACTCCCCAAAAAAGCAACAAGACTTCATATATAATGAGTTAATAATAGATTGGCTATTGGCTCATGCATAATGTGTTGGAAGTATGTTTATGCTTTATACATTCTGTTGAGCTTAACTTTAGAATCTGTTACCATGCCCTCGGGAGCTAATAGTTATTAGTATCATACTTATATCTATATTGATACATTAGAAATATATTTCTCTTGACAGCGCATGGACGGTGTTTTGCCCAGGAAACACTAGAAACTCGTCACATATCTCAGGCCTAGGCAACCCAGAACGGCCATGTTACGCACTCCGCCCATGTCCCTGTGTCTGCTAGCATATTTCATGGCCTTCCTGGGCATGCTCGCTGTACTCGGGTTGAGGTCAGTCCTCCTGCGGACTGACCTGACCCTCATGGCACGTTTTATTACGCCCTTCTGGTCTAGTCTTCATTCCAGCGAGACTCGCACACTGGCACAGTAGGTGGACCTCCATTATTTTCTCCCAGGTTCAGTGTCAAAGGCCAAAAAGTGAGAAAGTCAACCTATTTTGGGGGATGATGGGTCAGTTGGGTTAGAAAAGGGTCCTTTGGCTGCGATTATTTTCTAACCCAACTGACCCATCATTCACCAAAATAGGTTGACTTTCTCACTCTTTCGGCCCAACATGGAAGGAATGCGGCTCCCAGGGTATGTGTCTCTCGCTAGTTCTCTGAGGTTAGAGTGCACTTGGGTTTAGCGAAAACCCACAAAAGCTTATGAGACGTTAGTCTGAGTCTCTAGCTCCAAAGTGATTACGGAATTACAAGTATTTTCAAGACCACTTGAGATTGATGTATAGTGTTTCTCTGAAGCGGTTGGTGCTTGAGAAATGGGAGCGCTTCGCTTGATTAGCATTGTTCAGCGTGAGAAAACAGGCATCAATGGTTTTTACTGTTCCAACGAAAATGGACGTTCTCAACCCCATTTAACATGGCTGCCCCCATTTTTCATATTTTCCATAGAGAATAATGTAAAACCATGGAATGCCATAAAATATGCTAATCAAGCAATGTGCTTATTTTTCTCGAGCACGAATCATTACAGAGGAACATTATACATCAGTCTCAGGTGGTCTTGAAAAAATCTGGGGTGGGCACGGATTCTAAGCGTGTTCCTTCTGGTTTTTGGTATTAAGTATCATCCCTTACCTTTCTTTCAGTTTTGATCAAGTGTGCTTGTGATTCATTGAGGCATGGCTGATGTAGCAGATGTAGATATGGATGATATTGGGACTGCTGTGAAAGCTGATGATGAAACAGTGAAGGATTCTTGTGAGACTCACTTTGATGTGTCAGGGGAGCAGGGGAGGGTAGAAGATGATCTCAAAGTGAATGGAGTCCAGGATGTCCAGAATGTGGGTGAAGTTGTTACAGAAATGTCAGAAGGGGTTCCTGATGGGGGCACTAGTGAAACTGCTTCACGGAATTTATCTGAGGGTGATAAGAGTAAAGAAGATCTCTCGTATGAAGGAAGTCTAAAAACCATCGATAATCTGGATACAGAAGATGTGAAGTCTTCTGATGTTGATGAATATGAAAAGACAGCCACACAAAGTCAAGATGAAGCAGAAGAAATGGAACCTGAAGATGAAATGTTCCGCAAGAGCTCGCTCCTCCTTACGGATAGACCACGGACATCCGCAAAGAAACTGAAGGATTTGGAGAAATACTGGAAGCCACTGAAGGAGGATCCAAATGATTTTACTGGTTGGACATACCTGCTTCAGTATGTCGACCAAGAGGTTTGTAACAGTTTCATTTTCTTGTGACATGAAGGAAAGGTTCACTTTTTTCTGATGGATAGAGTGTAAATCTCCCTGTGTTTCCAACATAGAAAACCCATAAATAAGCTCTCCAGTGTCATAATGTTGAAGAAGCAATTTGAGAGTGAACTTTTTGGGGGTTTTTTTGGAACTAAGTTTTTTGCTGGCAGCCTAAGTTAAATGAGGACATGATTGTATTTTCATTTTTTAGAATATGTAAAAATATCCCATTTCAAAACACCACATTAAGGGTTATCTTGTTTTCATGTCTTGAAAGAAGAAAGTGTCTCAGTTCTCATTAGAACTTTGAAAGAAATCTAGAGGATAGGTTATGTATGCACAACTAATGACACAGGCACAAGATAGACTTATCTGCGAACTGAAGTGGGTCTATTCCATGTCATAAGTCATTAGTTACCAACCTTTTCCTCGGTGTAACCACATCCAGACAGCTGCAAAATCTCATAACCCCAACATCATGCACAGATAAAATCAACATTTGACTGTTGAAAATATGGCATTGTAACAGATGTTAATAAAATTACCCTTCATATAGCATGATACCAGGCAGGTGGTTTAGTAACAACAATGTTGAGAACTACTGTCATAAGTGATGGGTAACACATTTTGGGGGTAGTTGAGTAGCCTAGTTGCTTCATGAAGATGTTTCTTTATGCCTTTCAGAGTGATGTTGAAGCAGCTGAGGAGGCTTATGATGAATTTCTCAGACGCTACCCATATTGCTATGGTTATTGGAAGAAGTATGCAGACTACGAGAGAAGGAAGTCTACCAAGAAGGCCTGTGAAGAGGTGAGACTTAACTTGATTTAAAGCTTTCTTCTTAATGTACCATTTGACACTGCAAACCTAAGGTCAAGTCTCTTAGCATTCTTGCAGTACAGAGTGTTTCATTGGTTTTGAGAAACATTTGGAAGATGTAGCTCAGGAATACCTGAACTGTTTGTAATTATCTCTGACCCAGCTCATCTTCCTTTCCATCCTCTGCACAAAAGTAAACCCCCAGAAATTTTAAATGGCACTAAATGGCACTAGTATTTGTGAAAAAAACCACTTACTTTGCCTTATCTTTTTCCATGTGCTGGTGGCATCTGATTAGAATGGTATCAAAGGTTGCTAGCATAATTTACATTGAATTGATGGTGATGGTGATCATGGCAATTTTGAATTTCATTATTGATAGATCATAACATTCATAGTTTTTTTCTGGCAAAGTAGAAAATGAAGCATTAATATAAATTGAGAATTGGACTTTAAGATGAGAAAAAGGGATGAGAGCTCCTTTGAAGTGGTGGTTCAGACATTCCTGAGCTACACTATTACTAATATATGACTGATGAGTCACCCTGTTTGCTTTTGAAGCCTAATACTGCCCTGAGTACCTGTTCCTTAGGTCAGCATCAGGCATAATGGTTGTAGAAGTTGAAGCATAGATCAGAATGAGTTCTGAGGCACTGTGTTTGTTAAAGGAAGGCTCAGATTAAAGTTGTACACTTGTGGACTTTTCCAGATCTGTATTCATTTCTTCTTTTTTTTTTTTAAATAAAAATTGATAATACAATCCTAATAAGTTATGAGGCTCTTGAGGCTCTAGGCCCTTAACTGTGCTCTGACTGGAGCACCAGCTAAAACACCCTTTCCTTCTAAACCTTCCTCCCCTGTTACATCTGCTAACATGATGAACATTGGGAGACTTAATTTGGCCCATACATTTAATCCAGGGATACACTACCTGTGTTCACCCTTCACCACTGGGGATCTTTAATGTCCCACATCCTGAGATGAGAGTGCCACATGCTCAGGGGGTCTTCCTTCCCAAGCACGCTGGGTTTGCACTCAGAAATAAACACTGGGCTTTGCTGGGTTTGAACCTGGGTTCCCTGCCCCAAGAGTCAAGCTTGTTACCAACTGAGCCACCCACCTGCCTCCTAAATGATTATTTTATAATGTCTTTCAGAATTTATGGTCACTATAATCATGGTGTTGCAACAACACTGGCAAGTTCTGGAGTTTTATTTTCAATTGCTAAAGTTATTGTTATAAAAGAAAAACTTAAGTGCAGAGGGGAGAAAATGATTCATGCACAAATTTATTATGGTTATCCCATGTGCCTGGGATCCCTTGGGGTTTTTTGACATGATAACTCAAGCAGTACATGGGTTCATGGTGATATTTGTTGTCAGTAGGACTTCTCTCCCTTTTTTTTGCTGGCATTAAGGAATATACTAATCAAAACTACCGATTTCATTCTACACTTCATAGAGGGCACCACAGTATTTTATTAAATACTTTGTTTATGAAGTGAGTACACAGTTGAGGAAAAATTGCAATGGTAGGGTGTTCAGCAGCTAGTTGTCGTGAAATATTTACTGTTTCTGCATGTCATGGAGTGCCAGCCCATGTCACTTTTTATCTCTTTTATCTCTTTGTAACTTGCTGATTATCATAGGATCCCCCGTTAATTGTTTTATGCATAATTATTTTTCTCCTTGCCTGCAAACAAGTTTGCTTGCAAGATATTTCTGGCTTGTGTATGTCACTCTTGTGACCCACTGTACTCATATATTGTTTCTTCTTTAATTTCTCTTTTCACCTCACCATGACCTTGTCAGCCATGAATTCCGTAGAAGCCAGTATGTTTTCAAGTACAATTTTCTCTAGAAAATTTTTGCTGCATTGATCTCACTCATGTAAAAAAAAACTAACCTTTGATATCTTTCAATCCCTTAGTAAATCTATTCTGAGTGGGGGATGGTTTTTAGTTCATTAAGTTTTTTTTTTATTTTGGTTGTAAAGTATCATCAAAGTATGCTATATGTTAACACATGTCACACATCCCAAAAATAAGGTTTGCCAAGAATATTTCATGAAAATACACAGAAATTATAAAACTGAAAGTGAGGGTAAGCACATGAAGTGATTAATGCTGACAACTTTTTCACAATGTCTTTCACTCCTTGAAGTGTAAGACTGACCATGTTAAATGGCAGCTTGCTTCTGTTCATTGTTTTAATATGCTTATGTATATTCTAGACTTCATATAAGGATTACATTTTAAGTATAAGTAAATAGGCCTAGTAATGTTCTTATCCTCATATACTATGGACATATATATGACATATATATTATATAATATTTTTTCATCTGTTATTACTGCACTTGACTCAATTTTAGTTTTGGATTATAATGGGGACTAAAATCGCATTAGAATACAAGTTTGCTAAGTTGTTATATTTTTGGGTCTCTATACATTGTTACATGGAGAGCCTTACACCTCTTAACTGCCACATTATATATTGGCATAATGAGCTCCTGGCCTGAATTAATGTAGATGCACCAGAAGCAATATTTGCTAATTTAGATAAGCCTCTTTTACTTGGCTTTATAAGGTGAATGAACTGAATTGGTTTCTGCAGTCCTGGACAAGTCTGACAAAGCTGCTACAAGAAGTGAAAAACATCAGTGGTCAATTTGATAAATTAGCGGTGGTTCTTGTTATTCTTTCATATTGTTGCCAGATGTTTTCTATTCAAGATACGGTAATACCTTGCTATATGCTTGGGATGCATTCCAGAAAAACCTAGCAGTTTGAGAGGTATGTATAATGTATAATGAGCCTAAAACCGAAATAAGTATGTTGAGAAAGAGCATGTGGTGAAGTATTTCTGTATTTATTTTCTCCCTGGATGTTCTCTACCACCCACAGTCATATTCTCTTCAGCTATGCAACATCAGTGTCAATTTCACTCTGCAAGAATAGAAGCTGTGGAATTCTCATGTGTGCTTGTAGAATTTTTTGCCACTTTTCTCAGCTTATTCAAGTAAATGGCTTTTCTTGGTCTTAAAGGTTTTCCTCAAAAAAAAAATTTTTTTAAATTATAAATCAAGAGTAACTTTTTTGCTATTGTGAAATGTGGAAGGTGAAGTCTTGGTATGACATTCTATAATCTTAGGATGAAAATAAGAACTCATTTTCACCAAATGAAGTATGCAATTACTGTGGATTCCTTGCAAGGGTATCTTATTCTATTATGTCTAACTTCATTGTCTGGAGTGGCATTCAATGAGAATGAGAATTTCTTCGTGCAACAAATATCTGTTCTAGTGAACATATTCTTTCTATTTCAAAGGTGACATCACAAAGTTCAGTTATTCCAGCCTCCAAGATGTATTTATGACATGTTTCAGATGCATGCAGATTTAAATTGATTCTGCCTCCTACCACTTACAGTACTGCCAGAAAGTTTGAGGCAGGTGGGAAAATTTTGCAAGTCTTAAAAAAAAATTTTTTTAGCAAACAGAAGAACAATTTCAACTAATAAAAACCATGATTAATCATTTACATTTTGTTTGGAAAAAGAACATTAAATTTTTTGGTCTTTTTCTTGAAAAAGAAGCGTTTTTTTGCAACCTGCCTCAAACTTTCTGGTGGTACTATCTATACATATATGGTTATATTTACAGAATTTATTGGAAAAGATTGTGGAGGCAACCCAAAAAAGAAGCCAATCTGTGCATTCCATTTTATGGTTTCAAAATAATTCTTCCTTCTGAAAATTCTGAGGATACTCATGGCTTAAAAGTCTTCCTGAATAACTTCATGGATTTTTCATTTCCTTATGTCATTTAAATGCATAACCAAACCAGTCCAGAGGTTGAGGCTCTTACGCCCATAAGACAACTTGTTGACGTTTCTATTGTTCACCCTTTGTACTGGCTGTTTTTGGACATCAATGTATCTTTTTAATCATTCATTAAAGAAGAAACCGTATTTATTATATTTGAGGAATGACCAGCTGGTAAATTCATATTGAACAGAATAGTGCACAAGTTCTTGGAATTTATGAGACTGACATTTATATATATCTGCACCATTCTTCCATGATCTCATGGCGAGAGAAACAAGAAACTAACCTTTCCTGTACACATGTATCTTTGTCTGACACTGGTACATATGATGATTAGAAAGAAGATAAATGTGATTTGTAAGATCATGATCAAGATGATTACATCAATTCCTTCATCTTAGAAAGGATGTCCTGCAAATGGAATGCATTTATGTTCTAGGTCTTCCCCCAAACTTGAAGGCTTCTGGGGATCCTGACTTGAAAGATGGTGGGCTATGTCACTTATTTTGTGATATGTGATAGGCAATGATTTTGGGGGAGCATGCACTAATACAGATGTTTTAAATACAGTCACTTATTAGGTGAGAATGCAGGGAAAACGGGGAAGCTTTCGAGCTCGGCCTATGAAGACTGAAGACTGTGATAGCCTTGTGGATCTGTCCCTTGTGTTTAAGATTTTAAGATTATATTCCAGTTTTCATGATCGGTATGTGGTATATTGTGTGTTGATTAGAAACAAGTGATCTGACATATTCATTATATGTTTTAAGAATGTATGTTCACTCTTCACAGTTCATCCACTGTGCTAAGTCTAAGTCTTTTTCTCCTATGATAATGCATTTGCTGTGTAGTCACAGAAAATGGGTAATTGACATAGTAGTATTTACAATTCAAAAAGATTGTATGCTGCTGAGATTTTTTGTTGACTGCTCTATGCATCATCTATCTGCACACTAAGCCCCAAAGGCAACGGGGAATTGCAGATGCAAGCTATGATGTGGCATTCGGGCCTTGCACCTCCCCGTCTTGGTAAGTCTGTCCTTGTGTCCCTCAGGTTCAGCATCTAGGACCTAAGGACCGTATTTTTTAGTGAGACGCGCGCTATGATTAGGACTGTAATACCAGATAATAATAAGGACAGTATCTGAATTTTCTCTTTCAGGTTTTCACAAGGGGCGTGAAGGCAATTCCTTTGAGTGTGGACCTCTGGATTCATTACCTCAACTATCTCAAGAGTCAATATGGTGCTGAGGCAGCCTGGATTCCACACATCCGAGAAGTGTTTGAAGATGCTGTTGCAAAATGTGGCCTTGAGTATAGGTATGTGATATGCTCCAAATCAACAAACAATACTTCCAGTTGTAGGTGTCATCAACATAGCACCATCAATTGTCTTCTTGAAACTTGGACCACTTGCTTTTCAGTTTTGTTTTTTGGTCAAATGAATGCACTACTGTTGGAGTAATGAAACTTTTGGCCAAGGAAAAAATGCAATGGTGGATGAAAAAGCAAAATGAAGGAACTTAAAGATTCTAAGCATTTTAAAAATATATAAGTGCTGCTGTTGGATCATGAAAGTTTTTGCTAATGCAGCGAAAACTCGTTTACTCAAATCCTGAGAAATTTAAATTCCACTTATCTCTAAGTTCATCACTTAGTATTGGCAGAATCCTGTAAGACACCAACTTGAATTTGCTCATCTCAAATTTCTGGATATCTCAAACCACATTTTTACTTGTGATTACAATGTTCTTCATGGTTAACTCGAAATGGGGTGTGAAGAGGAAAAATGATATTTTGTGGGACTTTTAAAAAAATTTTTGAATAGGGCAAAAGGCAAGAAACCCATTCAGGAGAGAGTCTGTTTGTGTCTTTTAAAATATTTTTTCTGTTTCTCCTCCCTCACAGACACCTGTGGAAAAGACTAAACCTGAGAATTAAAACCAAAAAGCTTCTGCTATAAAAAGAAGCACTCTCCTTGTCTATCACTCTCACTTTGTGCCATTCCAGTCATATGTTTCTTTTACCCCATTGGTGTTGGAATGAGCCTACTCAGAGAAACTGAAGACTCAAAGAGTACTGGATAAAGGGTGTTATGATCAATGAATTTTGCATATGGAGGAATAATGCTTCCCTTAAGATGAATAAAAGCATGTTATAATGAGATGGTCAAAGCTCCTTGAAATCAGGTTCTTGGATTCTTGAGGATGGAAGAGTCACCCTCTGATTATATCCCTTATCATGCGTTCTTTTTTTTTTATTGAATAGGCAATTCCTGGTAAGCCAAACTTAGGATGACTCAAAACAATTTACCTGGTCCCTAAAAGTTTGAGCTAACAAGTCTCACTATGCCCTATGACCTCCTATTTAAAATCTTTGTGAATAACACCATTTAACTCCCTTACAACAAGTCAGTGTAGAAACCTCTATTGTGCTTTATAAATGGATCATGTTTAATAACACCCCCCTCCCCCCAAATGGTGCTGTTTACAGAGGTGGACTTTCTATGGCAAAAGAAAATAGAAGATATGGCTTCCATCCATGCTATTTTTTCTGATATTATTGCTCTTTTAATACTGCATTTTATAAAGATTGAGGTCATGTGATATTTTTGACCTTGTACAACTAGGACATTCAGAAGTCAATTGGGCCTATTGGAAATTCACCCAGCTGACCTGTATTAATATTTAAAGTGAAGATTTAGTATTTAAAAAAAGTTACCTGGACTTCTGTGAGAATCTTTGATGAGCTAATATGAGCTTATTTGATCATTTTGAGAAGTGCCTTGCTAACTAAGGCATTTTCTGGCATAAAGTTGCTACATTTCTTAAGGCAAATAATGAGGTTCAGGGTCAGCTAAGTAAAAATATAAATGTAAATAAACTGAATTCAAGATTCAAGATAGTTAGTGATATCAAGAGGCGATTTCACCCATTTCGATATCACGTGTCGAGGTCGAGCGTTCCTTAATTTTAGGGTAGGCCTAACCCTCTTAAAGCTAAAATTTTTTTTTTTTTTTTTTTACTATCCTAGTTGCTTACTGTATAGTACCTAACTTCAACATTACCCCCCACCTTTTTGCCTGTCCATGAAAGCATCTAGTTTCTTCTTAAAGATAGTCACAGAAGGGGCAGCCACTACTTCGTCATCTAACGCATTCCACGCGTTCACCACTCTGCAAGTAAAAAATTCCTGTCTCGACCTGAGCCGCACCTGCGGTTTGCGCAACTTAAGTCTGTTATCTCTCGTTCTCTTGCTGTGATCAAACTGGAAAAACCGACCACACTCGACANAGCCTTAGGGTTCTTCTTAGCATCGCTAGCCAGCCGTTCCTCGACCATCTCAGTACCTCGACCGTCTGGCAGATCTAATTTCCCGCTTCAGCGTCCACGTGATCCTTCTGTATTTCTCATAGTCCGTGCTATCTCCCGTGCGCTTGTACGCATTCCATTTCCGCTTTTTATCCCTGATAAGAGCTTTGATTTTACCCGTAAACCAGACCGGTTGCCTGCCCGATTTTATGGATTTCTTGGGGATGCATTCCTCCGTAAAGCCCTGCAATAACGTCTTGAACATTGCTCCTCTACCGTCAGCCCAAGAAGCCGCACCTCCCAGTCGATGCCTGAAACGCGTTCGCGTAGTCTTTCGAAATTAGCCTTCTTATAGTTGTACGAAACCTTCCTCGGATTGGCGTTACTCTTCGTCCACTTGATATTCCACGTGATCGCGCAGTGGTCCGAATCTCCCAAGTTATCCTGTACCTTAACGTCTCGTGCCAGATCGTCGTTCGTCGCAAAAACTAAATCCAATAAAGCTTCCTCGCGAGTCGGTTCAGTTACGTACTGAACGAGAAGAGCGTCCTGAACCGCAACGAGAAATTCCCTATCCCTTTCGCACCCCCCTTGCGGCACCCACCAATCTATGTTTGGCATGTTAAAGTCTCCGAAGAGCAATACCTGCTTCGAGATCTCGCCGATCCTACGCATGAGTGCAAAATGAAGCATAATTTATATCAGATTGACTTATAACCATGAATATTTGATTACCCTTGCAAGGAAATCGGCTTTGCAAAATGAAAATCAACTTCCCTTGGAATGCACTTGACTTCCTCAAAAGTGCCAGTACTCTCTCTTTTTTGGAAAAAAATCCTTGCAAGTATTAGTGTTGCTTGCATTCTTTTTCAGAACTTATACCTTTATTTTTTAAGCTCTTAGAGTACATTTTACTGGTCATGCTTATGCATTTTTTTGTGCCTGTCATTTGCTCTGAATTGAATGACCCATTTGAAAATCCTTATCTACTGAACACATTTTTGCTTCCCTTCTGCCTAGAATATTCCTGCCAGTCTTTCCACAGTCTTCCCATATGCCAATATATTGTATGGCCTTGGTTTTAGGCCAATTTCATGCACCTCCAATGCATGCCCTGGCCTATTATGGTTCCCTTATCCCTTTGCATTCAGCAAGCATGCATTCTTAGAAGTGCATTTACCGAGATGACTTTCAGATTTCAGCTGACTTTGTTGATCTTGGTGTCACATTGTTCTCTTACAAACTGGAACAAAAGGTATGGCCTGAATGCACAAACCTCATTTAGGAGAAATAAAGGAGCCTTTAAGTTAAAGAGCTCATTGCTCTCATTTTCATTCCATGCCAACTGACCAGATTATGAATAAATTTGATGTTTGACCATCCCAGAAAAAATTGAAACAATTCAGAACTAATAGGTGTTACATGAAACTCCAGAAACCTAAATATTTTATTTTTCTTCCCTATGGTGCAGGAGATATAAATTTAGAAAATTTCAGTCTTCAGGAAAATTTACTACTTGGGCTAGTTGCATACCTCTCAAGTATACCAGCTAGAAATCCATGTTTTGGCTCGTATGAAAGGTCTGAAATAGTAGAATGCAATAAAGTGGCAAAGGGGCTAAATGCAACCTTACTTGTATTATGATTATTTCATTCAGTGCCATCCATTCATTTTGTCCATTATATCTTCCAGATCCATTTTACCTTTGTGTTCATATCATACTACTTACATAGGTTTGACTACTGCATGAGATTGACAAAACAGAAGTTCCCTCCACTTTCAAATCTTCCTGTCCAAGGTTACATGTCTGAAATTACTAATATCCCATTACCACTTCAGAGTGCACTTTTCAGTTTCATTGATGTGCTTATGACATGAGGAGGAAATTACCATAATGATGATGTGAGTGATGTTCCTGGTCCTTGCTCGTTCAATTTGAGCCATCTAGTCAGTGGAATTATAGCATGGTATGGAGTCTATGTACAGGGTGTCCCATAAGTCACTATACCATTTAAAAAAATCACATTTACTAAGCAATTGTTGCAAAAAAGAAGTAACATTAACTGAAAGCATCTCATTTGGAATTACCTTTGTAAACAATTTTTAGGCATTTCTGAGTTTTTAAAGTGCCTCAAAATGCTGACTGCCTATATCAATACATATGGCATGAGACTCAGCACCAAAAAAATCACCAAAACTCCCTTTGAACTCTGATGGGACTCTCAATTACCTCCATGTAGGTTGCATCTTTTCTTCATTGCTCCAGTGTCAATTGCAGATTTTTTTTCTCTTTCTCAAGTCAACCTGAAATTAGGTGAGAAAAACATAAATTTTAGCAGTTTTGTAGGAGAGGATTCAATAAGGTGTACCAAATTGTCCCTAATATGCATTTGAAGCTATTTCCATTTGAGTCCGTGTCTAAGTCAATGTTGTGAAAAAAATTCTAAAAAGCATTCTATCCATCAATACAAACAACAGGGACCTGCATGTTGCAGTTTGGAAAATATTGGCATTTGAAATGGTATTGTGACTTATGTGACCCCCTGTATTGTTAAAGGATCATTAACTAAAGGAGGTTTTAGCATTCGGGCCTATATCTTCAACTTTCAACATGAGCTCCATATTATGCCACTTTTTGATTAGTTATATCATAGGTGCATTAATTCAGAAATTGCATGTTCATTCTTGATCAGTTGAGATGGGAAAAAGAGATAGAGACATGAATTGATTCATTACCAGTCCTTCCCTCCTTCCCTACATTTAAGGAACAAGGAAATCAAATGTGTCATAATATTTTCTCCCCTTCAGGTCAAGCAAACTATGGGATTTGTATATCAAGTGGGAAATTTCTCAAAGGAATTTCCATACAGTCTTCACACTGTATGAGCGTCTCCTTCAAATCCCCACTGTGCAGTACAAGCAGCATATCGAAGCGTGAGTTACTCTCATTTTAATATGGAGGAGTATCTTTTTTCTTTCATTTTTACAGCTGTTCTTAGATTTTTCAAATTGACTTCCATATGTTCACATGATTCACAAAAGGAAGTCATTTTTCTTTAATAAAATCTTGATGAATGGAAAAGTCTATAAACTTTGTTAAATTAAACTTTGTTTTCATAAGTAAAGCCATCTTGGTATGAATGATGCAGTTCTTGGACAATTTGATGTCCAACTAACACGAAACATTTATAGTAATTATTCTGACCTCATCTGTCCATAGTTTCACAGAGTTTGTGAACACACACAATCCAAAGGACATTCTGGCAGTGGATGAGTTCTTGGAATTGAGAAAGGAAGTCATCCAAGCCTTTAAGGAGAGTCAGGGTGGTGTGAGCCCTGCTATGGAAGAGACTGTTGGAGATGACATCCCTCCAGGATTAGAGGATGAGGAACCTCCTCCTGGTGCTGATGATGAGAGTGCTCCTCCTACTACTTCTTCTGTTAAGATGGTAAATATTTCTCATTGTACGAATTGGGTCACATTTTACCATTTAGAAGAAAGAGCACATCAGGGTGTTTTATTGGTTATAAGCTCCTAAAGTATCATCTTTCTTCCTTCCATAAAATATTAGGATAGATTGTTCAAGGGTGTTTTTTTTATTTACTAATTGATGTGTAAGGCAATACTGGAAGGAACATCTGGAATTCAAAATCTATAAAATAATTACAGAATTCCAGTGGTGACCCCTGAAAAAGTTTTGATTCCAACTCTTTGTTGATGTATGTGCTAGAGGACCTATTCTCAAGTTGGAATTGTAGCAGCTATGATGGTTTTCCTAATTAAAATTGAAATAATACCCTTGCAAAGTTAAGATTATGTACTTTCAGGTGAGTTCAAGTTATGCCAAAAGTCCAACTTTTAAACCATGTTTTATCAGAAGAGGTGCTGCTATCTGAGGCAATATTTTTTTTACCCCCACCTTAGCTGTTAGTTTATCACAGATGAATTCATGAAGTGGATAATCATCAGCCACCATAACAAAAGTGTTTATTTAAGTCTGCAAGCTAAATGGAATGCAATCCAAGGGACTGTTTTCCCTGCAGCATACTAGTCAGACTTTCATGAACAGTCTTCTATACACCCTCTGTGAAAAGAGACGTGTTAGCAATTAACAGGGTACCCTTGGTGGAGGTAACTGGGTGATGGTCACCCAAGAAATTTGATTTCTATTGGATGATTTCATAGAATCTGTGGAGTGTACAAGCAAAAATCACCCAGATATTATCCCTCAGCAACATTTTAACAGGAATTTTAGGTTATTAAGTTGGACATGGTGAAAGTCATATGGAAGGTTCATTTTCACAGATATTAGTTGATTTGCTGTCTTCATATCCATTGTCCATCATCAGATTCTAGCTCTCTTGTTTGATTAATTTATTGGATTGCCTTGTTTCTTTTTTTCTGACTCATCCTGCAATTTGAAAAAAGGAATAGTGAGGTGAAGTATTCATCAGGCCAAATCTAAAATGTCAAGTTTTCTTTGCAAGATTGGGGAACTCAGACTTGAAAGTCACAGAACCAGTTCCTTTTGTGGATTGTATGTGATAGTATCATTTCTTTAGGTGTTTACAACAGGCACAATTGTGCCTCTAGGTAATTTGGCATCAACAAAGCTGTTCATATAATTTCTGACAGTTTGGGTCCAAGGAAGTCCCTCTCATGATAGACAAGCTTTCCTAGTTGGGAGTAGATATGCAAGCCTGTGTAATATAACTTTCATGAGAGAACGGGAAATGTCATTAGTAACATATAAGCCTGCCAATTCATTCTCTCTCCAATCATGTGACTGAAGTGTAATGTAGCACATTATCTTCTTTGAATGCGTAACCATGTAGACATCCTGATGGACTCTGTTCTGGGAATGGGATATCCATGATGATTTGCTGTTTTCTTGACTTGAAATTTTCTTAAACTGAGTGTGCAAACCTCATTTAGGTGAGATTAAGTTAAAGAGCTCTTTTTCTCCCATAGGAGTTCATGGATTCCCAAAGGACCATTAATTTTAGAGGAGGTTTCAGCATTTGGGCCTTAGTCGATAGGAATGCTTTGGAGCTAATACTCCGTACATTGCTTTTTTTGAGGCTCTCATGACATGTTAACATGGACCAAGCATTGAAGGTGAATCATAATTTTTAAAAAGTTCTATGATTTTATGCATTTCATTTGCAGAAGTCTGATGAGGAGACAGTTGCATTGAGAGAGAGAATCTTGGAAAGAAGGAAGCATCTACTTGAAAGCCTGGAGGCTGAAGTTGGGAAACGTGTTGAATATGAAGATGGGGTAGGTTCCAAAGTGGTTCCATGTCAATTCTTCAAGACACTTCTTCAATGGACACTTCCTCTACACCTCTTCTTTGACTGGATGTTTAAATGAAATCCTTTCAAATAATTTTCCAGTTGAAGAATTGGTGTAGAGGAAGTGACATGGAATCCCCAAAGTAACTTGTAGAAAGAAAATGTTTTTAACCTGCTGTAACATGAGAATATGTGTTCCAATGGTTCAGCTGTTATATTACTTCAGTGAAAGAGAATCTACTCTGTTCATTCAGGTTATCTGTTAATTGCACATAATGTGAGTCCTTTATTGCAGCTTCCATGCAAAAAAAAGTGATTTCTCGCTCTTAGGTTCATGCTCAGATCCCAAAAACATTGAATACGTAGTCTGTCCAATAAATACGTGAACTGAGGTCATAAAAACTTTATTTTACAAAATTTAGGGTACATCAATCTTATCCCCTTCAAAATACTCCCCATTTGTATCAATACACTCGTTCCATCTCCGTTTCCATTGTTCAAAACATCCCTGGAAGTCCTCAGAAGTCAAGCTCTTCAGCTGCCTCGTCGTTTTACGTTTTATCGTCTCCACATTGTCCCAGTGCTGCCCCCGCATGACCTTTTTGCATTTCGGGAACAAAAAGAAATCGCAGGGGGTTAAGTCTGGTGAGTAGGGAGGGTGATCTAGCGTGGTGATCGAATTACGCGCCAGAAACTCGCGGACAATCACTGCTGAATGTGCAGGCGCATTGTCGTGATGCAGCAGCCATCCATCAGCATCACACCAATTTGGTCGCACACGATCCCTCAAGCGCTTGAGAACCTCCACGTAGAAGGCAGCATTCACTGTTTGTTTTTCAGGAAGAAATTCATGGTGGACAACACCATGGATGTCAAAAAAAATGAGCAGCATGACCTTGATTTTTGATAGGCTTTTTCGACATTTTTTCGTTCGTGGTTCACCTTTTGCTTTCCATTCCTTGCTTTGTGATTTCAGCTCGATGTCGTACTCGTAGAACCATGATTCGTCACCAGTGATGACCCTTTCAAGGAAACTGGAAGTTTGAGCGGAGTTTTTCCATTCGGTGCAGCATTCGGTCCTTCTCAGCTTTTGGTCAGGTGGCAGCAACTTTGGGACGATTTTTGCACACAATTTTCTCAACCCCAAATGTTTTGTTAGAATCATGTGCACAGACGATTTTCCAAAATTCAGTTCATCAGCAATCATCCGTACAGTAAATCGGCGATTGGAAAGCACAAGAGACCGCACACGTTCGATGTTTTCATCAACACTGGAGGTCGACGGTCGTCCTGGCCTTGCATCATCCTTGCAGTCTTCACGGCCCTCACTGAAACGCTTAATCCACTTGAAAAGAGCTGTTTTCTTCAGTGCGTTATCTCCATAAACAGCCCTCAACATTTCATGAATTTCCTGAGAGTTTTTCCCAAGTTTCACCAAAAATTTGATGTTGAGTCGTTGTTCCATCTGTTCATCAATCTCCATCGTTGAAAAGAGCAAAAAAAAGGGCGCCACAAAAAAAATTCCGCCTCTAGCTGTACACTTGCCTTGATGGTCTGACGGTTTCTGATGCTCCAGTGGGTCCCTTGCCAACAGAGCAGCCAGGGCGCATGTCTAAACATCACCTCAAGGCCACCCTAGTAGCTAAGTTCGCGTATTTATTGAACAGACTACGTATGGTCAGAATTGCAGTACTCATGATTGAGGTAGTTACACCATCCAAATTCCAAGTCATTTTTGTATTTTCATTGTATTCCTTGAAACTCTTGCATTTTGGTAAGGAAGGTGTTATGTTGCTTTTCTTGAGCAAGTGTTGAGCATTTAGTCTTTTGTACCCATTCCAAGGGTTTGGCCTTCCAGGGCCTTTCTCTGAAGTGAAAACTTGGAAAATCTAACATTTTAAAATTATATCAGAACAATCACTGGTGTGATTGTCATGTTTCCCTGTAGATATGCAACCCAGTGGGCCTTGTAGCGTTACCTGAATTCCACATAAAGGTGGAAAAATATTCCCGAAGTTGCATTTAAATATGAACACCCTTTATATATATGTCTCTATGTCTATATATATGTGGTCTCTAAATGAGCTTTCCAAAGGATTTCCAGCTGCACTAATTTCTTATTTAAAGTAGCTTTGTTTTTTTTTCATGACATTCTTGTTTGCTTTTTTAGATCCTTTTGATGGAATTTTTTACCATAAATTTCAAAATTGTAAATTTAATTAGATGGTTCATTAGTCTTGTTCCTGCATCCATCAGTTGAAGCGACCATATTTCCATGTGAAACCATTGGAGAAGGCACAGCTGAAAGTGTGGAAACATTACCTCAAGTTTGAAACAGAGGAAGGGAGTGAGGAGCGGATCCATATCCTCTTTGAGCGTTGCCTCATTGCATGTGCTCTGTATGAGGACTTCTGGCTCATGGTGAGTGTCTCCAAGTTTCTTTGTGATGCAAGGAAAATTAAGTTCAAGAAATATATACATAATAACATCCATCCTCATCTACACATCTGAGAAATCTCAGAAGTGTAGTTGAGGATGTTATTAAATGACATGAGTTCACTTTCCTTTTCTTTTACAACTGATGTCACATTTTTCATTCCTGTATTATGAAACTACTAGCTTACAATTTTTGCTATGAAAAGCAGATGTCACTAATAAAATGATGGATGCTTTTGTTCTTAGACTCATATGATGTGCATTCAAGAAATTCCCATGCTTTCCCCCTTTAATTAGTTCCTCCAAGAGCTGACCAAATTTTATGGATGAGATTTCTTGCTGTGACTGTGGGGATAATTTGTGAATGTTTTCAGGGTGTGTATCTCTTCTGGTAATTTTCATGCCATTCTTATTCAAGATCACTTTTTTTTACACTGATGGAAGGCTCAGAATCTTTGATGAAGAAGGATGAAAAGACCTGAAGAGTTTTTTTTTTTATAGCTGAAAATCATTCATCTAGAACAGTGGTGCCCAACCTTTTCAGCTCGGGGGCCACATAGCCCACTCCCACAGTCATCGCGGGCCACATGCAGTCGCTAATACTGTAGGAGAATATTTTATGGAAACTCGTGGGTATTTATTGCAGCTCAAGCCTATCTGTTTTAATGTGACTTCTGCACTTGCATGTCCGACGCCAATTTGTCGATGTCTGGTTGCAGGTAAGTTGTGGCCAGT